CTGCCTGCGGCTCCGGCATCCCACTTGGGCACTGGTTCTAGTCCCAGCTGCTCCTCTTCCAGTCCAGCTCTCTGCTGTGGCCCGGGAGGACAGTGTAGGATGGATCAAGTGCTTGGGGCCCTGCACTGGCATGGGAGACCAAGAAGCACCTGGCTCCTGGCTTCGGATCGGTGTAGCTCCGGCCATAGCGGCCATTTGGGGGGTGAACCAATGGAAGGAAGACCTTTCTCTCTGTCTCTCTTTCTCACTGTCTAATTCTATCTGTCAAATAAATTTTAAAAAATTGGATATCAAAAAATATCCACAGAATGCCTGAATTCGAGGGCTTCCAGCCTTGCAGTGACAAATTGCCAATTCTTGGCAGATCTTAACATTTAATAGATTTGGTACTATACTTAAAAAATAAGTCTGTGTTGGTTAGGCTTCCTAACTTTGGGAGCTTTCTAAATCTGAGATGACGACATGGTTAATCAACTTTTCTTGCTGTACTTATGCAAACAGTCAACGATGATATGCCTGCTATTAGTGCATGATTCTGTTCATTGTTTTTTAAGACACAAACCTGGATTACTGTTCTCTTGTTGGTTTTGGACTTTATGCCTGTTGCCTGACAGAATTCTACAGAAGTACAACGCCCAGCAAGATAATGCTAGCCCCGCATTTTGAAATGATGACTTTTGCCCACACAGCTGATAAAGTTAAATTTAACAATGGATTCCAGGAAAAGTTAGCCTAAGAATCCCTCCTTCCAAAACTCCTTTGTTGCTCAAGTGTGGTTAAAAGTTGTGTGTGTGTGTGTGTGTGTGTGTGTGTTTTAACAATTAAACCCAACATATCTTTTTTAATTAATTAATTTGACAGGCAGAGTTACAGAGAAAGAAGGAGAAACTGAAAGAGATCTTCCAACCACTGGTTCACTCCCCAGATGGTCTTGATGGCCGGAGCTAGGCCAATCTGAAGCCTGAAGCCAGGAGCTCCTTCTGGGTCGCCCACGTGGGTACAGGGGCCCAGAGACTTCAGCCATCCTCTGCTGCTTTCGCAGGCAAATCAGCAGAGTCAGATGGGAAGTAAGTGGAGTAGCTGAGCCTCAAACTGGTGCCCATACGGGATATGGCAGCTTACCCCACTGGGCCACAGCGCTGGCCTCATAAAAGGATTTTTGACACTAACCCTTGGTTGTCAGTCATTTCCTCTCCAGTATGGGACAAGATCAGGCCAACAACCACAAGTCAATCCTAGCAATAAGGGGCAAATAGAATCTAAACACAGGGAGACTGATCAGCAATGTTTTCGAAATAAGATGACAAAGGGGGAATGTAAAAGTTAAGATGGAGTCACTGGTGTCAACCCTAAGCTAAAATACATAAAGCTGAAAGGTTATAAAGAAGGGGTTCTCATCTCAAAAGACTACCAAGGGGCCAGCCCTGTGGTCTAGCAGGTGGGCCCACTGCCTGAGGCTCTGGCAACCCATATGGGCGCCGGTGCAAGTCCTGGCTACTCCACTTGCGATCCAGCTCTCTGCTATGACCTGGAAAAGCAGTAGAAGATGGCCCAGGTGCTTGGGCTCCTGCACCCACATGGGAGACCCGGAAGAAGCTCCTGGCTCCTGGCTTCAGATTGGCCCAGCTCTAGCCATTGCAGTCATTTGGGGAGTGAACCAGTAGACAAAGGATCTCTCTTCTCTCTCTCTGACTTTTCTTTTTTTTAACTCTTTCAAATAAACAAATGAATATTAAATAAAAATAAAATGACTCTACCAGAGCTACAGAGGGCCATGATTTCAAGAGAACGATGCCCGCTAGGTATGACTGGTATCCTCACACCTCACCCCAGGATCTATATAAAGCACCCACACTGGGATTGCCACACTGAGAAAGAGCTCTTTGACTACTGCGCTCCTTTGTACACATGAGGTAAGGATTAGGACCCAGAGTATGGACTCAAAATCTGAGAAAAAGGAAATGCCAGATGGCATATTTTTCAGAGAATCTGGATATTAGCATCCATGGCTGCCTGCCTTGTCTGAGGACAGTCGTGGCCACCTGTGATGTGTTTGTTGCAAGAGGCAAAGCAGTTCACTTGGGCAGCTTACCTCACCGTATGCAGCCTCTCGGAACAACAGGGAGATCGGGGGCTCCTTCCAGCCACCCGGGGAAATCCCACACCGAAACATTTGACAACCTAAATATTACTGTAAAAACCATCAGCTTTAAACCCAGCCACCATGCTTCTGAGCCCCTCTGGAGAACCCACATGTGACTGCTTACGGGTTGTTGAACGCTATATTCCCGCAAGTTGTACCTGACCAATGTCTCCTTGGAGACTCCAGTTCTGAGATATTCTTTGTAGATGGAAACAGTAGGAAAAGAAAAGGCTGAATATGTAGTAGCAACCTTCCAGGAAACTTTGAAAGGAAAAGCATTGCCACCAGGGACCTTGGCCCAAAAGGCTAAAGTCATAACCCTTTCATTGCTTTGTACCTTAGAAGAGGTAGGAGAGTGAGCATTCATACTAAGTATGCTTTTTCTGTATTATGTGCCTAGAGGGTTATTTAGAAGCAAAGAGGATTGTTCTTGTTAAATAATAAAGTTTATGTACTGAGGAAGGCAGTCCTCCAAACCACATGACTGCAACTTCAAACATCCTCACGGTCACCCAAGGGAGGATGTGTGCCCTCTTCACACAGGATGTTTTAATCACTCTGGGAACATCTGTCTAGCTCTCCAAGATATGCCCACCCACATCAGTGCTGTCTGACTCCACACTGAGCCTTAACCAATAGCTCTACACTTGGTTTGAGAATCAAAGTCCCTGGAGACAAACTACTGATCTTTCTGGTTTGCATTCTGGGTGTAGGAATATTAATACGTTGTTGCTTGAAATGATGAAAGACCTGCAAATCATGCAGACACTACCTCAGCCAAACCTCATCACGATGCAGACTCTCCTGAGTTGAACCTAATTTGAAAAGGGTTTTCCCAACTTCCTCTCTTCCAGAGAGGATGAGAGAGAGAGAGAGAGAGAGAGAGAGAGGGAGAGAGATTGATTTTCCATCTGCTTGTTCACTCCTCAAATAGCTGTAACCACCAGGGCTAGGCCAGGCTGAAAGCCAGGAACAGGCACTTATCCGGGTCTCCCATGTGGGTAGCAAACAAGAGCCCAAGCACTGGGCCATCTGCTGCTGCCTTCCCAGGTGCATCAGCAGGGAGCTGGATTGGAAGCAGAGCATCTGGGACTTGGTGCCTACACGGGATGCCAGCATGGCAGGAACCAGCTCAACCCACTGCGCCACAGTGCCAGGCCCCTCTCCTCCAGTCTTGAAACCTCCTACCATGCTCCATTTCAGCAAGAAGCAGCTAGAATGATCCATATACACCTCAAGATTGAGGAGAGAAAAGGAAAAGAGGGGACTGAAGTGGAGCTTCTTATCCGTAATGCCCCTGATGCTCACTTTATCAGGCCCTAGGTTTCATTCTTCTAAAGATAAACCCATTAAACTACAAAGTGGCAAAAGGGTAAGAGACCCTCCAGTTAACATCTCAATGGTAGTCTCAATTCTGAGAGCTTTTGCAAGAACACCTAGGCCCTGATCAATGAAACCAGTACCCAGTCTACCCCTAGCCCCACACAGGTTGGAGCCCACCTTTGTTATTTCAAAGGCAGCTTGCTGGTCTCTATCACTGACCAAAAGATGGCCACACACACTGGGGACCAACAGAAGGCCCACAGATGAACTGACCACACACCACTCACCCCTAACCTTGAACTCTGAGATTCACCACCTGTACTCCCCTGGGGAGTCTGGGATTTGCACATCATCTGCCTATGTCCTTGCCCTGCACTTGGCAACGAACACTGGGTGTCAGTGGGTCTTGCCAGAAGATCCAGTTTTGAAGTTCTATAGCAACTCCTCCCACCAGTTTCCAGGATGTTCAATAGCAGGGAGCCACGGGCTTCCATTCCCTGCGTTGGGCCTAGCTGTTCTCTGACCTCGACCTTCATTTCTTTGCCTCTAGGCATCTAAGCCTCACCCCTCCAGGTGCTTAGTCATGGTGAGCCTGGTGCTTGGTCATGATGAGGCTGTGCCAGCCTGGGCTAGACACTCATGTCCTTGTGGGCAATGGGCAAGGGATTGAGGCCTGTTAAGACACAAATTCAAGGCACCTAGGCTTTTTTTTGTGTGTAATTGGTAGTTCTAGATATTGCAAAGCTCACATCTTGGGGGATAACAATTCTTTAAAAATTCATTTATTTATTTGAAAGGCAGAGCGAGAAGCAGAGAGAAAGATCTTCCAGCTGCTGATTCACTCCCCAAATCCTGGCCAAGGGCAGGGGCTGGGCCAGGCCAGCCTGGAACCAGGAATTCTATCCGGGTGTCCCCCGTGGGCAGCACACGTACCAGCACTTGGGCTATTTTCCCCTGCCTTCCCAGGTGCGTTAGCAGGCTGCAGCTGGGCTTCCAGCCTGGCAATCCGATATGAGAGGCCCCTGTCCCGCGACTGTAACCGGCCCAGGACAACACGTTTGTGTCTCCACCTTTACTCTCTATACTTCTTTGGTGGACCACAAAAATCGTGCTTTTGATTCAACCCATTATGTCAATGCTTCTCACGCTACATGCTTTTATTAGAATCAGCAGAAGGCGGGAAAGTGTCCTTTAAAACGACACTTCCTGGGGGCGCGCCCCCCCCCCCCCCCCCCCCGGTTGGGGCCCAGGAATCAGCACCGCAGGCGCTCACCACACAGCCGTGCAGAAGCACCAACCCCGAAAATAACAGGGTGGGACGAACTTCTCTTCCCAGAGGCCACCACGCGCCTTCGGGGACCTCCGGGTGCCGGCGGCGTCCAGGTGCCCGGGGCGGAGAAAGCACGGGGCCCTGCAGCCGGGGCAGGTGCAGCCGGCCGAGCTGGCGGCAGGCGGACCGGGCAGCGCCCCGCCTCCCGGGGAGCCCCAGCCCCCAGCGCGCGCTCCCCCGCCCCCGCCGCGGGTGCTTAGTCACGGTGAGGCTGCGCCGGCCCGGGGTCCGCGGCCCCCGCCGCCGGGGACCCGCCCCCGGCCGCCACTTCCGCGTGCATGGCCCTGCTGCCCCGGGCCGTGAGCGCGCGCGCGGGACCCGGCCGGCTGTGTGTGGCGCGCGCCGCCTCCCTCCTCCCGCCGCCTTTAAGCGGCCCCGCCGGGGCCCTGCGCGCCCTCAGCCGCGCCATGGCGTGCGCACGGGAGCAGCGCCCGCCGCCGGCCGGCGTGACCGCATACGACTACCTGGTGATCGGGGGCGGCTCGGGCGGGCTGGCGAGCGCCCGGAGGGCGGCCGAGCTCGGCGCCAGGGCCGCCGTGGTGGAGAGCCACAAGCTGGGCGGCACTTGCGTAAGTACCAGGTCCTTCCAGGCTCGCGTCCCGCAGCCCTGCAGGCGCCCGGCCTCTCCGGGGACGGCTGGGGACTTCCCCACCGCGATCCTACCCAGCTGGGTGGGCGGCCCCCGCGCCGTGCCCTCCGCCTTCCCAGCCGGCCCCTGAGGTCCGAAGGACCCCGAGCAGATGGGACAAGTGTGTGTGGGGGGTGGGGTGGGGGCCTCTGTGCGGCCCGGCGCAGGTGCGACGTGCACGAAAGCCCTAGCTCGCTAAATGCCCAGCAGCATCCTCGTGGCTCCAGGTAGGAGGAAAGCATTGCATTCCATGCTTGACCTTGTGTAGGTGCATTTGGGAAAGCTGTGTAGGGGCGAGAGTGGCGGTGAGGGATGTGGAGCCTGGTCTCTCCTTCCAGAAGTGCACGAAGACTGATGGCCGTGGCTCGCAACCTGGGCTGCGCGTTCAGAACCACCCCAGGGGATAAGCTGTGCTGCGTGGGTTCAGCCCCCAGGGCGTCTGACTTACCTTGGTCTATGGTGTAGCCTGGGCTCGGGTTCAGAAGCTCCTGCAATCCTGTGAATTGCAGCCCTGCAGGGCTCACCATTGAGTGATTTCTCAGGCCTGTTGTTTCGCTTGCCTTTGGTGTTTTTTTTTTTTTTTAATTTTTTTAAATTTAATTTAATTCTTTGAAAGGAAGAGTTAGAGAAAGAGAGGTGAAAGGAGGGAGAGAGAGAGGGAGCTTCAGTTGGTTCACTCCCCAAATGGCTGCAAGGAAGCCAGGAGCCTGGAACTCCATCCAGGGCTGCCACGTGGGGGGCAGGGACTCAGGCACTTGGGCCGTTTTCTTGGAAGCCCAGCAGCCGCCACGGTGTTGGTGGGACACAGCTGGCACTCACATGGGATGCTGGCACAACAGGTGGCTGCTTAACCTATGTGCCAGAACACTGGCCCAAAATAAGGTGTGTAAGTCTTGAGGCTGAAAAACTATAATCTTTTTTTTTATTTAAGATTTATTTACTTATTTGAAAGTCAGAGTTACACAGAGAGAGAAGGAGAGGCAGAGAGAGAGAGAGGTCTCCCATCCGCTGGTTCACTCCCCAATTGGCTGCAACCGTCAGAGCTGCGCTAATCTGAAGCCAGGAGCCAGGAGTTTCTTCCGGGTCTCCCATGCGGATGCAGGGGCCCAAGGACTTGGTCTATCTTCTACTGCTTTCCCAGGCCACAGCAAAGAGCTGGATAGGAAGTGGGGCAGCCGGGACTTGAACCACTGCAGGCAGCTGCTTTACCCACTATGCCACAGTGCTGGCCCTGAAAAACTATAATCTTTACAAATAAGTTTTGTTCCCATGGATTAAAAATATATATTATATTATTTATTTGAAAGAGAGAGGTGTTCCATCTGTTGGTTCATTCCCAAATGCCTACCACAACAGGGGCTAGGTCAGGTCAAAACCAGGAGATAGGGCCGGCGCCGTGGCTCACTAGGCTAATCCTGCGCCTTGCGGCGCCGGCACACCGGGTCCTACTCCCGGTCGGGGCGCCGGATTCTGTCCCGGTTGCCCCTCTTCCAGGCCAGCTCTCTACTGTGGCCAGGGAGTACAGTGGAGGATGGCCCCAGTGCTTGGGCCCTGCACCCCATGGGAGACCAGGAGAAGCACCTGGCTCCTGCCTTCGGATCAGCGCGATGCACCGCGGCGGCCATTGGAGGGTGAACCAACGGCAAAGGAAGATCTTTCTCTCTGTCTCTCTCACACTATCCACTCTGCCTGTCCAAAAAAAAAAAAAAAAAACAAAACCAGGAGATAGAAACTCATCAGGACCTCCCACATGGATGGTAGGAACTCAACTACTTGAGCCATGGCCACAGCCTCCCAGGGAGCTGGAGAGAAGAGCAGCAGGCCAGGGGTCTAACCCACACACTCTGATGTGGGGCACAAGTGCCTTAACTGGGCAGCTTAACGCCTAACTCCAGTGCTTTCTCCCCTCTACTTAACGTTGTAATGATGTTACATTAGGGCTGTTTTCCACCCGACTTTTGATTTTTCACTTACAGCTAAGGTTGTACAGTAAGCATTGAATATCAGAGAAGGGGTAAGACACAGTTTAGATGTGTTCAAGGATTCCAGTTACGTGGGCTATCCAGCTATCCACAGATGAAGTAATAAACTTACCATATACAGTGATATCCAAGCAAGTGTAGGGAAAATGGAAAATTTCTGAAGAACATCATTTCATTTGTTCATTTTTCATTTCCGGGGCAGGCAGAAAAGCACAGTAAGATTAAAGTTCCGGGGCCGGTGCTGTGGCTTAACGGGTAAAGCCTCTGCCTGCAGTGCCGGCATCCCATGTGGGGGCCGGTTCTAGTCCCAGCTGCTCCACTTAACATCCAGCTCTCTGCTATGGCCTGGGAAAGTAATAGAAGATGGCCCAAGTCCTTGGGCCCCTGCACCTGCATGGAGGACCCAGAGAAAGCTCCTGGCTCCTGGCTAAGGATAGGCACAGCTCTGGCCCTTGTGGCCAATTGGGGAGTGAACCAGCAGATAGAAGACCCTTCTCTCTCTCTCTCTCTCTTCTCTCTCTGTGTAACTGACTTTCAAGTAAATAAATAAATCTTAAAAAAAAAAAATTAAAGTCCCAGGGCCAGCACTATGGTGTGGTGGGTAAGGCTGCTGCCTGCAGTGCCAGTTTGAGTCCTGGCCGCTCCACCTCTGATCCAGCTCTCTGCTGTGGCCTGGGAAAGCAGTAGAAGATGGCCCAAGTCCTTGGGCCCCTGCACTCACATGGGAGACCCAGAAGAAGCTCCTGGCTTCGGATAGGCCTAGCTCCTGCCATGGCAGCCATTTGGGGAGTGAACCAGCGGGTAGAAGACCTCTTTCTCTCTGCCTCTGTATCTCTGTAACTCTTTACCTTTCGGATAAATAAACAAATCTTTTTTAAAAATGTGCAATATTATTGCTTTCTCAGGCCATTGCAGAGAGCTGGATCAGAAGTGGAGCAGCTGGGTGCCCATAAGGGATGCCGGCACTGCAGGTGGCAGCTTTACCTGCTACAGCCCAGCAACAGCCCCAGTATTCTCATTTTTAAAAAAGCTAGCCAGGGGCAGGTGTTTGGTGCAGTGACTTGGACACTACTGAGGATGCCCACATTCCTTATCAGAGTACCTGGGGTCATGTACCACTTCTTCCCTTCCAGCTGCCTGCTGATGTGCGCCGCGGGAGGCCGCAGGTGATGGCTCAAGTACTTGGGTTCCTGCCATCCGTGTTCCAAACTCTTCAGCTATTGTAGGCATTTGGGGAGTGAACCAGCACTTGGAAGATCTCTGTCCATCTGTCATTACATTTCCCAGGGTTTTTTTTTTTTTTTTTTTTTAAGATTTTATTTATTTATTTGAAAGAGCTACAGAGAAGAGAGAGCTCTTCCATCTGCTGGTTTACTCCCCGGTTGGCCCGGCCTGGGCCAAGCCTAAGCCAGGAGCTTCATCTGGGTCTCCCACAAGGGTGCAGGGTCCCAAGCACTTGGACCATTTTCTGCTGTTTTCCCAGGCACAGTAGTAGGGAGCTGGATCAGATGTGGAGCAGCTGGGACTCAAACGGGCGCCCATATGGGATGCCGGCATTGCAGATAGCGGCTTAACTCGCTGTGCCACAGCACCGGCCTTCCAAGGCTGTCTGTGTGGTGTGACCGCTTGCCTTGACTTTCTGATTCCTTGTTGGTTTTCCTTTTCCAGGGCGTTCCCCCTGTTCCCTCCTGTGATATGATAGTGTAGGCTCTTCGCTAGAAGACAAGCCTGAGTAGTTTCAAGATGAGTGACAGGTGTTGGTGCGTGGACTGAATGATCTGTCCCCTCCAATGTGAGGGTACTTGGAGGTGGGGCCGTTGGGAGGTGAGAGGTCTAGATGAGGTCACCGTAGTGGGCCTCATGCTGGGTTTCCATCAGAAGAGGAAGGGCCGTCAGAGCTCCATCTGTCCTGTGAAGACATAGGGGAGAGGGGAGCCCTTGCAGGGGTACAGTCTCCCAGTCCCCAGACTATGAGAAATAAATGTCTGCTGGGTAAGCCCCCTGGTGTGCGGTATTTTGCAAGACAGAGTTCATTTTTCTTTGACAGAATTCATAGCTTTGAGTCCAGCGCCGCAGCTCACTAGGCTAATCCTCCGCCTTGCGACGCCGGCACACCGGGTTCTAGTCCCAGATGGGGCGCCGGATTCTGTCCCGGTTGCCCCTCTTCCAGGCCAGCTCTCTGCTATGGCCAGGGAGTGCAGTGGAGGATGGCCCAAGTGCTTGGGCCCTGCACCCCATGGGAGACCAGGAGAAGCACCTGGCTCCTGCCATCAGATCAGCGTGGTGGGCCGGCCGCAGCGCAGTGGCCATTGCCAGGTGAACCAACGGCAAAGGAAGACTTTTCTCTCATTTCTCTCTCTCACTGTCCACTCTGCCTGTCAAAAAAAAAAAAAAAAAAAGAATTCATAGCTTTGAGACCCACAGTGGAGGCCAGGAGTTTTGAAGGTCAGATATACGATGATCTTGCCCCGTGGGGTGTGTGTGTGTGTGTGTGTGTGTGTGTGTGTGTGTTCAAAGCAGCAGAGGCAGGAGCTAGTTCCAGAGTCTGTGTACAACACAGGAAGGAGCATGTGCAAGTGGAGTGTCTTGATCCCACTTTTTTTTTTTTTTAAGAAAAGAGTTTATTGGGGCCGGCGCTGTGGCGTAGTGGGTAAAGCCTCTGCCTGCAGTGCCGGCATCCTATGTGGGCACTGGTTTGAGTCCCGGCTGCTCCACATCCAATCCAGCTCTCTGCTATGGCCTGGGGAAGCAATGGAGGATGACACAAATCCTTGGGCTCCTGCACCCGCGTGGAAGATCCGGAAGAAACTCCCGGCTCCTGGCTTTGGATCAGCTCGGCTCTGGCCGTCGTGGCCATTTGAGGAGTGAACTAGCAGATGGAAGACCTCTCCCTCTCTCTCTCTGCAACTCTGCCTTTCAAATAAATAAATAAATATTAAAAAAAGAAAATGCAGGTACA